TTTGAGAGAATTGCCCCCCAACTTCCCTGAGCTGAACTTCAATAAGTCCAAGTACAGGTCTTAGACTTACTGATGATCATCTTCAAGCCATACTGAGGGTCTCAACTGCTTCCTCTCTCAAGCCAAATGTGGTTCAGATTTGTGAAAAGAAGCGCTGTCAAGTCTCTGGCAGCAAGGAGTAGGCAAGAGGAGCCATGTTCAGAAGAACCGTTCATGATTTTCACTCAATGTTCCATTCATGTTCAAAACACTGCATGTTCAGAAGAAATCATTAAAACTGTTAACTGTTAACATTTGAGGACTTTTTTAAAAAAACTTTATTGTGGAATCCCTTACGCGGCCCACCCTCACCCAGACTCTGCCTCCAGCGGCCCCCAGGTAAATTGAGTTTGAGACCCCTGCCTTAGAGGCTAGAAAACCAGAAAACGTTGTCATGAAATCTCAGCCCTCAGTCTTTGAGTGGTGTGCTGAAAGAGATTAGTGTTGATTTTGTTGTTAAACACCAGACACAATCACTCATTAAGGTCTTTGTGAATAGACCACTGTTTCACCTTTGCTTAATAACGATAGCATTAAAAAGAAGTGAGACTCATCATAGAGTTGTCATAGCACCATTGAACACAGTGTGTGATTGACAGCTGCAATGGCCATTTAAGGCCCAATTTAGTCAATGTTTGAACACCCAGCTGGGGAGCCATTGTGGAACTCATAAATTTTTTATTTACTGACTAAAAAAAAAGCACTCAGTACTGAACCAGAATGTCCTGTGTGGACCACTGATGCAGGACATTAGAAGAATAGATTCAATGAGGTAATCAAAAAAGAGGTACATTCAGTTTGTTATTACCCAGGTGGGTGGGTTACATTTGAACACAAACGCCCGCCCCGTGATCGTTGCACCAGGGCACTGTGACCCGCTTCTTCCATGTAGAGTCTCCTTGTCCTGTTCGCTGCCGTGTGGCTGTTAAAGTCCATTCTTTCTATTTTTGGTTTATATTTGTAACTACAGTGATAATGAAAGAAAACCTTTGGCCCTCTATCCCAGAATCTGCCCACTCCTTGTTAGGTTCACTCCTGATTTCAGCAGCCTTAAATAAAAATGGGCAGGTTCATATTTTGTGAAATGAGCACTGGCTGTTTGTAGACAGATTTAGATTATACCTCAAATTGGAATGTGTGTACTTTTTAAGACACTGTAGCTTCTATTATCAACTTAACTGACAGATAGAAAACCATGGCAGTATGGAGTACTTTGATGAGTTCCGTTGAAATCCGATATACAATTTTGTGGCTGCGGACGTGATCCCTTGTTCCCCGTACGTCACTGTCCATCATGTTAATCAGCCTTACCTCTATATTCCACTGGATGCGTTACAGCATGTGTGTGTTGTGGCTGTGTTGCAGTTGTGTTGCGGTTACCACTGCATTTAGCTGCCACTATAAACACAGAGATATTCCAAACTGAAGCTCAGCTGAGGCAAACCGGGCCATAGCACACTGGATAGGTAGATTGGGCAAGGTTATTTTGGACAGATGCTAAGTCAATTCAAACAGAATAGATCTCACTTCAGAAATTAACACAAAAGTTCTGACAACCTTTAAAATAAACAAAATAAGTAGATCAGAAATCATCTCTGTACATCAACACTGGTGACACTGGGTCAGAAGTCAAACGGCAGGAGAGTCACATTGTTGAATTTCACCATGGACGAGGACATAGTCCTTCTTGGAGTGAAAAACCAACAGACACACAAGTGCTCTTCCACAGAGGCAAATATAACTATCGTTAATTACTGTGGAATCCTGCTGTTAACACAATATTTTCCCAAGAGTGGGATAATAAAGTTCAAATGATTATTTATTGTGATAACTGTCTTAGTTTCTAGTCCTAATGGTACAATTTGTGCTCCAAATGATTCTGCTGTTTGTGAAGTTCGTGACCACTGTGACGAGGGAAATACAACATATATCTCCATATAATTTATGACCTGAGACCCTTGATTGACCTCACTAAATCTGTCTGATAAAAAAAAATGCATATGTTTTTTGAACATAAATTATGCAACATGAAACTCCATATACATCGATCAGCCACAGCATTAAAACCCATAATTGGTTTTTATGATGAGCTGAAGCCGGATGATGACATTAATATATAATTAGCAGGAAGTCTCTCCATTTGCCCTTTAGGTTACCACATGTCCAAGGAAAACGAAGCCTATTCATGCAGGAAAATGGAGAGGCAGAGTAGAGAATGTTGGATTATATTCTATTATATAACTCTTTCAATAAAATCTCTTCTTGTCGTGACGTTTTTGGTACTTCAAGTGCGTACTTCCCAACCCTTCATTTAACACTGCTGTCGGATCAAAAAAAATCCTTACACAGAGCCTATGCTGGCTGACAAGGCTCTAATGACTGGATTGTGGTGAAATTTTCAGCTGATATTTGAGTTGCCCCCAGGACGAATCCTCACACTCTGTTCATTTGACCTTTTCCTTTATTGTCTACATCTGACACAGCCGTACACTGGTCAATAAATACATTCACCAAATGGATACAGAAACTTGTTAGACCATCTAACTAACACCTAACTATGGCATAGTGTTATACTAATTCTAGTGGAGATACCACATCACCATGTGATTTATACCAAACTTACGTACTTATGTTTATTTACACTTGTATGGCAAGTGTAAATAAACAACATAAACAAATTCATGAATAGACAACATCTCCATTTATCGTTAGCTTTCACGGCTTAAAAAACCCCCACTTCATAACGGTTAATAAAGAAGGTCCACCTTTCTTAATCAATTCATCTACTTTAATACACTCTTCTTGTCTTCAACCCTATATGAAGAAATTCAAAATTTAGTACAAATAACAAAAGTCATTCTTAACTTTTTTTAACCATATTTTCAGACTTGCTGATGCCGCTTGTTCCTGACCCTGTTCTTATTCGATCCTCTACAAAACCCGTGAACTATTTGTCCTCTGCACTCCCCGTCTGCTGCCAGCACATCTTTGCAGCCATAGCCAGGTGTGTCCTCCTTTGCTACATCGCCATTATTTACCCTAAGAACTGCTAGAGCAGCAGAGTGGTAGTATTTCAGTATTTCATGTTGACAGGATTGAAGTCTTTCAATTGACTTAACTCCTATTGCCTCTTTTAGTCAACACTGTATC